TTTTTTTTTAAGTTCATGCCAGAGTATATAAGTTCAATATGTTCTCACATAATTAACATTTCCCACCATTAGCAGCAGTTTTTCAGTTTATGTATCAGTAAAAACAACAGTACTCATTATACTTGTATACCCCTAGTCAATAGTGTGGCAGTCACCTTACCCACACATCTAAACCTGTCAGATGCCTAAAAGCAAGCAGAATTTCCCACTGGAGATAACAGATGCTTAATCTGTTCATCAGCTTTTTCTTTGAAACTCATTTTCCAGGGCCCTATTCCTACCCATTTTAAAAACGCTAATGAAATACTCGGATAGAACCTTTAAAACTAATATGAATCATGAAAAAAAATGGTGAAAACCATCATATCAGGATAATAAAAATGGTTTTAAATGGAGTGGGGAGGGGGGGCATGGATCCCAGCCTTCCCTTGGCCTGTCACAAAAATAGAAAAAACAGAGTCTCTTGGGAGGAACCCCATCACTACTGTCCAATTCAGAAGATAGACCAGTGCACTTCCATCCCCCAGGACTCCCAGACTGGAAACCATTTTTTAAGAATCCTCCCAACTATTTCAAAAGCCAGTAGACAAAAGAACTTAAGAGCTGAGAGTAACCCACCCCGTAGGAAACCTGTCCTGAAACCATGCACCCCCTTCAACAGAGAACCCCATTTGTTTGAACTCGTTAAAATACATATTTCATATATTTCCTGCAACAAAACCTGAACATTTCTGGAAAAAAAAAAAATAAAGGATTTCTTTTTGAATGGTTGAATGTCAATCCCAAACTCAAGTATGGTATAAAGTCAAGGAAGTTTGTAAAGAGAATCTTACAGATTGAGGACTAGCAATAGTTGACAGTTTTTAAATAAGATTTTAAAAATCCACACAAAAATACTCCAAAATTTTAGACCCAAATGTTCTAGCATTACACAAACCATCCCAAAAGAGAGAAGGCCCATAAAGTTTCCTAGTTTCAGATGTATACAGTGATTGCAATTCAACAGGGTCTAAATTAGGTATCTGTCCAAAAACCCAACCCCGAAACATTCAGGGCTAGGATAGACCTGAAATGCTTGATTTTATCACCTTGATGAATATGAAAGAATAAAATATATCACAGGTACTGTTCAAACACGATTTAGAATCTTATTTAAATACCACAAGGAAAATGCACTATGCAGCTTTAAAAGATTATGCCAGCCATCAGTCCCCAAGCAGCCCAACAGCAGAGCCCAAGTTTGTCAAAGGGGGATAAGCTTACAATATATTTTTCTTGCTGAGTTCAGAAGTAGGACATTAACAGGCTGCAGTTCCAGTCACTGAACTCCAAAGGCAAACTGTAATGCCTGCATTAACAGAAAGAATGACTGATTTTTTTTTTTTCAGAGAAAGCTGGACACTTGCTTTAGCCAGTATTTTCAATCCTTTGGAGAAAACAGACCCTAAAAGTTTTATCACAAAACAGATTACACACACAGTTTTAGCTCAGAAATACACACATATACATATCTATTTTTTTTCTTTTTTCCTAATTTCTTTATTCGGAACAAAATAAAATGCCAATATAAAAGCTTAATAGTGTTATCAACCTACAATCTATGCATGAATATGACCATTTTTTTTTTTAAGTTCACCAGGTCATACAGTTATTTGTATGAGTGATAAGGCATCACAATTTCCATTTGCAAGTAGTATAATTATGCTCACAATTAACACATAACAACACATGAGATTAGAGAGAAAACTAATCTTACAAATGTACAGGCTCTTGTATGACCGCCATATATGAGAGACCAATCCATTTCTTAAGGAAGCAACCTGCTAATGCTGTTAATGACACAGCTCATTTCTTCAAAGGCCCATCTAATATTTTGGATCTACATTCTCTTAACTGTTCATGTTACACACTTTTCTACTGAAAATATGACAGCAAGTCATATGATTGATCTAGACCCAAATGATTCACTACAAGTATATGTCTCCCAATTTTTCCCATTTAAAAAAAAAAAAAAAACAAAACCCTCTTCTACTTGCTGCTCTGTAGTCAGAAACAACAAACTCAAAACTGTTTGTAAATTGCTGGAGCTCAGACAGAAAAAAACTTAAAACATTTTTTCTTCATGGCTTATGTGTCTTCTTAAATAGAAGGGGACACCAGCTTCCAAACTAAGTATATGGATATATAATTCCTGCTGTATTCAGCAAATGGCGGGAGGAAATGAGGAGAGGAGGAGAAAGCTGCCTCCCCAGTCTACCCTCCCAAGCCCACTCTCATGTGTAATTAGTTTGCTGCTGGGACCTAGGCACACACTGTCCCATAGTGCAAGGCAGAGCTTCTCAGTGAGAGATGCATTTCAGTCTGGCGCAAATAAGCTAGGATGTTCTCCTTCAAATTAAATTTTATTATCTATACATCTTCGGTGAGTCCTGGGGTTTTGGGAGGGAAATTAAAAAAAAAAAAAAAACTAATAATCTCTGACATATCCCCTAAAGTTTACTTATAAAGGATCACACAGAAAAGGAATCTACCCAGATTCTTTCCTATAATTTTTTTTTACTCTTTTTTCCAAATCAAAGTGTCATGTCAGTTTTGTTCAAACTCATTTTAAAAAGTAAAAAGTATTCTAGTATTTCCCTAAAACTGCAGATCAAATAATACTTGTCATTAAAGTAAATGTAAAATGGTCTACCTTGGCACATCAGCAAAAACCAGTAATGGATACAGCTTATCAGTTCATTTTTTAATACCAACAACAAATAAAAGAATTGTAAACTCTGTTAAAAACCTGAAACCTAAGAGCTCAACACAGAGTTGCACACACAAAGAAATACTAAACAAAAATATCTGTGACCATTTATGGAAATAGTGAGATTAGAAAAATAAGCCTTTCTCCCCAAAATAATCAAAAATTCAAAACCTTACTGTTGACAAAGGTTCAACAAAACCCATTTGTCTTTCTGGAGTCACTTTGTAATTAGTTCTACTACTTCCTTCTAAAGAGGAAAGATTCTTACTAAAGTTGAACCTAAGTCTGGCCCTTATAAAGCATTCAGTAGTGCTTGGACCCAAATCCAACAGTGACAGGATAAACCACCCAGCACAGCTTGAAGACTATTTCCCAACCATTGCCTCACAGTACCCTGGCAGAGAAGCCCCCTTCTGAAGAGACCATCAGGATAGGCTGCAGAGAAAGAAGCCCACTCCCAGCTTTGACAATGCAGTTGATGATACGGGTACTTTAAAGAAAAGGATTTGTCCTTGCTAGTAACCACCTGCAGGCACTGAGCAAACCCCAATCAGACCCCAAACTTCCAAAAACAATCAAGGTGGTAAGTGGGGAGAAATAAGTGGTTGTCCTGGACAGTCTGCCCCTTTGCTGAATCTGTAGCAATTTAAAAAAAAAAAAAAATTCTCACTATTTTGAAATTTGATAGGCTTTACAGACCTTTATGTCTCAGGACCTGGGCTCCCCTCCCAGGCACTGTTTTTAAACCCGGCCTTTTACATTCCCAGTTCCTGGAACATCATCTGTCTGTTTCCAGTGCTCGCTGAGGTCAATTTTCATTTCTGCAAATCACAGGCAGCCACTTGCTTCTAAGAAGTTAACAAGCCTCCTGAGAAACGCCGGTGGCTGGTATTTCATTGTTTCATAAATATTTTTATACAGTGACACCATTCAACTTTAAATAAATCTTTAAAAAGAAGGACAATTAAAGAGCGAAGAAAATTCTGATCTGGGTTTTATTTTCGTGGGAGGAAGACAAGGGAGATATAAACCCCTCATTGTTTTAGACTCCTTAAAAATGTTGCTCGGGTTTTTTTCTTAAAAAAATATACTGTTAAAAAAAAAAAAAAAGGACACTCACAGAAGTTGAACTTTCTTTAAAGCGGGCCTCTGGACTTTTGAAAACAAGTGTTGCTGCTACGAACAAAGGCTAAAAGTGTACCCTGATTTTCTTTCCCTCCTGGGGATTATTTCTCTTCCAATAAACAAACAAATCCCCCAGTATTTCCTACCAAAGGGAAGTTTTCCAGGGAGAGTCTCCTCCTGGGTTTGGTGGTAACAGCGACTCAGTCTTTTTTGGACACAATGTTTCTGCTGACTCCTGAAAATTTTCCACTTGAATGTGCAATGAAGCGGCGGCGGCAGCGGCGGCGGCAGCAACAGTCCTGGAGAGGCGGTAAAGACGACCGTGCCCTCTTTCATCTTTGGGAAGAAGGAACGAAGCCCCCAGCCGCAGCACTCGTCGTCGCGGTCCCCAGACGGGCCTCAGAGGGCCGCGGCGCAGTGGGGGCGGTCTGGAGGTGGCACGGGGGTCTCAGGCCGGCTCCGAGGCGACGGCAGTTCTCCCCGCCCGCGCTCGCTCCGAACTTCTGGCTTCTCGGCGAACACCGTGAAAAGAGCCCGAGGGTGTG